CCAGCCTGGTCTACAGAGTGAGATCCAGGAAAGGCGCAAAGATACACAGAGAAACCCTGTCTCGAAAAACCAATAAACAGATAGATAAATAAATAAAACAATTCTCCATTGGGGTAAGGCCTACAGAAGAGACCGGGACAGAAGTAGTGGAACTGTGAGGTATTGCTGTCTGGGGACCCAGGAAGGGAGAGGGGCTTTGTTAAAGGAGACTCAACTGCAGGGAGTCGGAAAGGCCTTAGGCGGAGCGGGGACGCCAACCTCTAGCCTTGAGAGTGGCTGTGGAGACAGACATTGGTTCTCTAGCCACCAGAATACAGGGACTTCACCTGTGAAACTCAGCTGAGCTCTCAACCATTCCCCAAGTTCACCTGACTAGGCCCCTACAGGTGAATCTTGTCAGGGCTCCGCAGACCCGGCCTTTTAGCACAGGCCCTGACTGGGGTAGACTTAGTGCGTTATCTCTTGGAGGGGTGAACAGTAGTCAAAACACTTAGTAGCAAAATATGGGACAACAAACCAACAAACCAACCAAACAAAAGCCCTCTCCTCTTATAAAAGATTATTTTGCTTCCATCAACAGAAGATAAAAGTGGGGTCCAATGATGATGCAATAATTCACCTCTTCACAAATGTTTATGGAAGGATAAACTGCTCCCTCAGTTTCCAATTCCTGCGCCCCTCTTTCCTCTTTCGATTTCCCTGAATTCCACCCTAAGAAATACAAAGCCAGGGTGGTTTCAAACCCCGCATTAATTGGATCAAAAGTGTGGGAAGTGTCCACCTCTTGGGGGGACCTTTTGCTTCTTAGCGTCTCTATTCTTCCAGGTTATATTCCAAGGGGCAGTTTGAGGTGAAGGGCTCTCATGGTTTTCAAAAGCAGCAGCGGCGGCAGCGGCAGCGGCAGAGAAGGTCCACGGTTCCCATGGTTACCACCCTCCACCCTCTCAACTCGGGAGATCTGGTATTGTACATAAACAGAGTCATGGTCAAACGTTTTCCCGGACTTTTCGATTTCTCTGTTGTATTTTATGGACCCCGTAGGTGAGGGCCTATTGATTCCTTCCTTCTGCTCTTTTCGTTCATAATAATTGATATTTCAGAAGGATAAATATATAAGTAAATTGACAAGAGATGAGTGGAGCTGGGAGAGGGAAATAAACAGCCAGGCTCTTCCCAGCTGTCAGTGTTTTTACAGAAATGTTTGTCGTCACATAGTTCACGTCACCGAGTGAATCCAACATTTGAAATGGGCAGAATTTAGAAATTGTGATTCATCTCTTGTCTAAGAAAGACGGAATAACCAAACAAGATGTCACATACTTTAAGGGCCCCTTCTCCCTTCATCTCCCCTTTGCTTTTTAATATTTATCTGTGGGGTGTGTGTGTATGTGTGTGTGTGTGTGTGTGTGTGTGTGTGTGGTGTGTGGTGTGGTGTGGTGTGTGTGGTGTATGT